CATCTCACTTTCCACATGCCTTAGCCCAGCTGGGAGCAGCTAGATGGAGCCAGCAGCACTCAGAGTTCTGAGCTCAGCCAACCCCTCTCTAAGATGGTTCCTGGTGAATCACTCTCTTTTGCAGGACAACCGAGCCCTCAGCAGTCATCACCAGCTATTGCAGTCCTTCATGTCCACTGCTCCCCACCCCACTGTTACTTCTGTCTGTGGAGACCTCTGGGGTCACAGTAGTCACCATGCGTCTAGAGGTTTGAACCTCTCCTCCCATGCAGTGAGTCCCAACTTAGGGAGAAGGTGCCAGTGGCATCTTCTTCTTCATTGAAATTTCTCTAGTCACTCTCTCTGTGGGCTTCAATTCGTGCTTCAGATCTTTCCTGGGCCCAGGGGACCCACTTCCCTCCACCTTGTCCTCCTCATGTTGCTATATTCCAGTGTATGGACAGCAACTCTCAGAGAGGCTCTTTCTCTGCTGCTTACCACTCTGCCATCTTGGTGCTCCCTCTCTCTTTTTGAATTTTTGGCTACTCCAAATTCTCTGCAAACTTTTAACTATATCCTAATCCATAAAGTCTAATTACAGCTGTAAAAGGGATTGACTAGAGTTAGTGAAAAAAATAAGAGCATCAATTATTATACTGAAAAAGAAAAGGAAAGAAAATTCACAAGCATTTTAATGATCATTGTAAAAGATTAACTCTGTGTAGGGTTGGAAGGATGAGAAGAGGTTGAGCATCCTCAACCGAAAAATCTGAAATACAAAATGCTCCAAAATCTGCAACTTTCTGAACATTAACATGACATCACAAGTGAAATATTGCACATGACTTTATCTCGTGTGATTAGCCTCAATCAAAATGCAGGTCCACTAAAATATTGTATAAAATAACATTAAGCCTAAATTTGTAAGGAGGATATGAAATATAAATGAATTTTATGCTTAGTATTGAGTCCTATCACTAAGAGGCTTTACTATTCACAGGCAAAAATTCCCAAATATGAACAAATCCAAAGTCTAGAACATTTTTGGTCCTAAGCCTTTTGGGTAAGGAATACTCAACCTGCACTATACTACTTTTATTCTGGTTGAATTTAGGCCTTGGCTTTATAAAAGTCATGTAACCATAATGTGTTCATAGAAATTGTCACTATTATAAGGACAGGGACTTTTTTTTCTCCTTTTGATTTTGAGATTAATAGTCAATAAAAAGATTAATATCTAGGCTATTCTAGCCTTGTTTTTGGTGATAGGATGGCGGGTGATATGAACATCACCCAGCTTGATTTCATATAGCTAGATGGTATTTATCAATTGACTGATTTTGCTTTCCATGTTATTACAAGACAAGTATTGCTTATTTAGAGAAATCTTAGTAGGAACTAGAGTGTATTTACTTTATTGTGAGCAGCTGGAGAGATTGGGGCCATTGCATACATGAATGATCTCTTCATTTAAAATTAGCTAATAGACCCCATTATGGCTTTATGTTGTGAAGAGTTGGGTGCTAAAAGAAATCAAACTACTCGTGTTTTTAGAGACCACAGATATTTTTGAAAATTTCAGATTCTATCACAGAATTCAGAAAGGTACAGAGAGGCCAGGACTGGTGAAGTTGGTAATTGCTTTTTAAAATGAGATTTGTTTATCACTGTCTCTTTCATAAGCATTTGCCCCTCTAGTTTGCAATTTGATTACATCTGATTATTCATGTGCTAGTTAAAAGGGAAGGTGATTTTATTAACAGTAATATATGACCATGAGCATGTGTGGCGGTTAGGGCGATGTCTCAACTTGACTGGATTTAGGGTCTGCTGGAGGTTCCTGCAGTACACTTCTGGGTGTGTCTGGGTGGACCAAGGAAACTTAGCCATGGGGTTTAAGTCTAATCCCTTCCACCTTCTGCTCTGGCACTGTTCCCTTCTTGCTTCCCATCTGCAGTGACCTAAACAGGTTTGCTCCCCAATGACCTTTGGCCATGATGATTTTTCTTTGGAGCCAGTTGGTCACAGACTGAAATTGTGAGCCCCATTACACCTCCCCCTCTTTTAAGTGTGGGTGGTGGTTATTGTAACCAGCTACGGGAAAGCTAGCTAATAAGGTGTCTTTCTTCCTGATTAATTTTCTTTTGTTTTGATGAAGATTCTTTCTTATTAATTAATAGATTTTATTTTTTAGAACAGTTTTAGACTTCTTGACAAATCAAGCAGATATTACAGAGTCATATTCTATTCCCCCTTCCTTATTTTCCTTCTTATTATTTATTACTGCTTCTCTTACTAATCTTACACTGATATGACACATTTGATTCAATTAATGAACTAATATTGAAACATTTTTATTAGAGTTCATTATTGACTCACTGCTCTATAGATTTCCTTTTTCTGTTCCAGAATGCTATCATGTAGATCCCATTATTCATCATATTTTATTAAGCTCTTCTGGGAGAGTGACATTTTCTCAGACTTCCTTCACTTTTGTTGGCTTTGATAGTGCTGAGTATTATCAGTTATATTGTTGTATCAGGTATATTTGGAATTTGCCTGATGTTATCCTCATAATTGCAGGAGGGTTATGAATTTTGGGGAGAAAGACAGAGCTAAAGCACTATTTTCACCTGCTATCAACATGATTTATGACCACTGTGTCACCTGGCTGATGCTGTTGTCAGTGTTCTTAACTCTAAAGGTGTCTTTCCTACCCCCTTTCCTTTGGAAGGGAGTAATTTTGTACAGCCTACACACAAGGGAGTGTTTGCTTTTTCTTCTTTGGAGCATCTATATAATTTATTTGGTATTTTTCAGCAAGAGATATTTCAGTTAGGATTTTTTTAGGTAGATGAGGTGCTTTGGGTTTGAGGATTATCCTGACAAGCATTTTGTGGCTATAATTCTGCATGATCTCTTGAAATGGGTAATAGGGTCCTGCCAGCATGGCAGAGCAGAAAGAGTACTAAATTAGGAATGCCAGTGTCTGAGTTTGTGAATCAGCTTGGCTACTTTCTAGGATCATGACCCCAATATGCCCCTCTTCCCTGAGACCTGATAAAGGGATCAGAGGTTGTACTTGGCAATGTAATACAAAAGCCTCTTTACTTGTTTTCCTTGCTGCCTTCAACAAATACTCCTTAGCACAGCCCCTGGTTGATTTTCTCTTACAGATCTCAACTCAAAAATCATTCTTTCTAAGGGATTCTCAGAGCCCTGTAGGTAAAGTTTCTCTCTCACATTCCTAAACCTTTTGCCCTATGGCTTGATATTATTCACTTGTAGTCTGTATTGTCATATGAAATCATCCTATTTATTCAACTGCATATCTTCTCCCTCTAGATTATAAAATTTATTAATTCCATGAAGTAAAATACCATATACAGTGGATCCTTGACTTACGAACTCAGTTTGTTCCCAAGAGTTGAGTGTAACTCAAGTTGTCAATGAAAGGCGCAGGTTCCTTGTGCAGTCTTCAAAGTGTCTCCCTGTATACAGGCAGATTTCAGTGTTCTTAGAGAGACATTGGCCCAGGATTTCTGCATTAACCTATTCAGCAAAGGAAGTTATAATTTTCCTTCCAGAACTCTTTAAGGGTTAAATCTGTATCTGAGACCATCTGGAAGCACAAGCAGCAGGCATTAGTGTCATAACTCAAGACTTTGGTTGTGAGTTAAAACTAAAATTCCTGTCATAACCCAAATTGTTTGTATGTCAGGCTGGTCTCCACTCAAGGGTCCACTGTCTTATTTCACTCCAGTACCTAGAAAGTGATCTGGATAAGTTATAGTCCAGATTAAAAGTTATAGTCCAGGTTAAAAAGTAGTAATGCACACCCCAATGGAGCTAACATTGTTGACCATTCTTTGAACCTAAAAATAAAAATTCAATACAAAAAGCTCTTTATTAACTTTTACCAAATGTGATACACTGATCTTCTTAATTGCTGATACTGCCGTGAAAAAAGGAAGTGGTTCCATAAACAAAAGGATTTTTAGCATTCTCTGTTTCAGCATTTATAAATTCCAATAAGATGAATTTATTCTGACCTAGGCTCATTTTGCTCAGCAAACTTAATTTAATAGTTACTTTTGCTGCCATGAAGGAGTCTGACTTCTTCTATTTAACAAATTAATGTCCAGGAAAATATGACTTTGATGTAGAGATGGGGAGCGTCTTCCTGAGACTGAAGATATCAGAAGTATTCCTCCTCTACAATTGTTGGGAAAAGGAGCACGTTTATTCTCTAGGGGAAGTGAAGCATATTGAAATGCAATCTAAGAACATGCAAACTTATTATCTACCAGGATGGTTGAATGGTTCCAATCAAATGGTGGATAGAAATAGGGCTTTATATTCAGATTTTGGAAAAAATAACTCCATAGTTATATTTAGGTGCAACAGTGCCTGAAAATACTGAAGCAGTGGTTGTGTCTAGCTTGTTCATATTGTAATGAGTATATTTGCTCTTTGAGGGTTATTGTTGTAGTCAGGGTTGGCAAGGGAAATAATTTAATACAGGACACATAATTTATAGGATTATTTTATAATCGTCACCCAAAGAGTCAAGTACAAAAGAGTGAGGGAAATCTATCCACACACTAAAGACCTAAAGCATCTAGCTGAGGGCCTGGATCCCACGGCAATTTCCTGCACAAGTCCAGCTGAAGACCTCGAACCTGTGACAATGCCTCCCACGAGTCCAACTGGAAGCCAAGTGCCCACGACAATGTCTCATGCAAGTCTGTTTCACAGATCTGTGCTGAGAACCAAAGGTCAGTCTGGGAAGCTAGAAAGTTTGTGCCAGCGGGATAAAGGATCTGTGCTAGCAGGCTGAAGGATCTGCACTGAAGCAAGAAAGTTACTCTCAAAGTAAGAACCAGAGCTCCCCTAAAAGTAGCACAGCGATCCTCAGTGACAGCGAGGCTCTTGAGTTCCTCCAACAATGAGAACTGCTGAGTTTGTATCAGGAAAGCCAGCATAGCAAGCTTCTCCAGGAGAACAAACAGATCTTCTTCCTCTCCAGTTCTCCTTTTACGCTGTTGGCAAAAATCCTCAGGTGGGCCTTCCACACCCAGCACCACACTGACTCAGCTCAGCTGCACGTTACAAATTGGTCAAATTTGGAAAGGATAGTAGTGGAACACAGTTGTCCCTATGGGATGACTGAAAAGGGTGGGAGAACACATCCACCCATATGTGTGAGGAGGGAGGTAGAGGAGATGGGAATTTGCACAGAGAGGCTGATCCGGCAATTGAGTGTGACATTTTTCACATCCTAGAAGGTAAACAAGCCAAACCTTATAAGAAAAGTCATTTAGCATGAATTTATTGAATTCTTATAATTACCTCAAAAATAAGTACTATCCCCACTTAATAAATAGAGTTGCGTGGCCTGTTTAGTGTCATACACTAGCCGAAGGCAAAGCCAGTTTCACTCTTAGCTCTCAGCGTGTCTGTTATAGCATCACGAGGCAGTGTTTAAGGATTGTGAGGCTACTTCTGATTCGGTGATAGGCTCCTGGCACTCTTGCTCCAGTAAACACTTTTTATGAGAAGTGCAGCTCCACTTTGTGGCAATGATTGCATCTGAAGCTGTGCTTGGTGATTTCTAGAAGCTTCTTTATTCCCTGTTTGTGGTCATCCCAGTTTTACTGCTTCCCCTGGAGAGAAGACTGCCGAGACAACCCAGCCTTGTGAGTCTTCCATGTGGTATCCTGCAGCCTTTAATGCTTTTATTCAGAAAGGAGCGTACCTGGGAGGAACATATCTCCAGGTCTTCAGCCTGAGAGGTATAGGAACAATAACAACATTTTATCTTAAGGACTACTCTTCGTTTACAGATTAGTGTAGTCAGAAAATTACCAAAAGCTATTAGGTCTGTGTTGTAAGTGAAGATATTTTGGGCAGTTCCTTTGATACTGACAGAGAAGGGAAGGGTATAGTCCACATTTAGCCAAGTGCCATCCAGTTGCAGGTATTGTACAATTTTGAAAATTCTTGAGGGCACTGATTCTTCCTACCAATTTTCTGCCTCCATTCTAGAATCTGCTGAAGTCTAGGATCTTTCGAAAGGGGTTAGGTAGTAATTAACTAATCTGTTTAACTAGGGACAATCAGCACATAGCTATTTTTGCTTTCAAATTATATTTCATAAGGGTATTTAAAAACTTGAGATATTTTTCAATCATTCCACTGCAAGGTAATGGTTAATTTTAGGAGCTCTGTGAGTTTGATTTGTACTTAAGATTTTTACCATCTATATATAGGTTGGTCTTTAATAACCATTTATACATTGCTTCTTTTTATATAGGTCATGTATTCTCCTGGGAGAGTAACAAGATTAGAAATAACAAATACAGTGCAGAATAAATTAAAATGCTTCAAACTGCATTATATAATTTCAGAAAATTGGTTTCACACTGAAATGTTTAAATAAGAAAACCAAATGATTTGAGTTTTAAAAACCCTACTGTATGTGTTTGAATTGCCGTTGTTTAGCAAGTTTTACCCTCAGTACTATGGCACTAGTATCATTTCATAATGCTCTAGTAATGCGACAGTTCATTTGTGTCAGTATGGATACAATTATCATTATTATTTTTCTTTATTTCTGGTTCTTTAAAAATGTTAGTTTCATTCTCACTGAAGATGTAGTGTTTATTCGTAAAAATGTCAAAGAACTATCATAAAAGTAATTGTATTTTTATATAAAATTCTCCAAGCTCCTGTATACAAAATATTCTTATTACTGTGGTACAATAAATTCAGAGGCTGTTATAGTACAGGAGATGGCAAAATTGGGGCTAATACTTTTCTAAATACTTATGACAATAAAAAGCGCGGCTTGCTTTTCCTTTCACAGTGGAATGAAGAAGATACGATGCTCTAGAGAATCTATTATTCCAGCTAGTTTTGTTTGTTTCTGTGAAGTTTAGCATCACTCTCCTTGTACCGAGTCCTCAGGCCTTTTTCAGTTTTTCGATTCGTGCATTAAAGGCCTCTTCCTGTATTTGCAGCTTTTCGTTTATCTCGGTCTGTGAAGACAATCATAAAAAAGTGGTTATGATGGAGCTATCTTCTGCTGCACATTGTCTTTGTGGTTTTGACATACTATAGTGCCTAAAGACAGACATTATCCCTCACACACCTTCCTGTTTTGCAGACACAGCCGTGTTTCAGCCTGTAGTGATGTGATAACACTTTATCATATTTCTCTGCACATTCCCGATGTATAGCATGTCTACTACGAACAGGAAGTGGTATTTGGACAGCCATTTTTCACATAGCCACGTGTTGGAAGATAGGATAATTTATCTGCATTTTCAGACAGACTTTACCAATAAGCACTGAGTCAGAATAACTGCTTTGGGTTTGGTTATTGCAGTGTTGTTAGTCCCCCAACCCCTTTGCAGTAGATGTTTTTGTCTTCTGCATAATGCATTCTAAATAGGATCTCAGAAAGCTTCTGTTGTGAAATAGCAACACAAATAATCTCACAATTAGAACAATTCTCATAATTAAGAGTATTCATCATACATTATAACTCTTGGAATGGTGCCACTTTGTGGTATAGCTTTGTAGAAAAAAGTAAGCAATTGCTGACAGGTTTTAGTGATTGCTGAAGCTGTGATAGCATTTAGCCCCTGGCAGTGATATTCTGCTGGACTAACATTGCCACCTGCACTATTCTAGAAATACTTACACATTATCTGAACGTTAGTAGCACTGGAAATGTCTGTGTTTTATCACAGTGGATAATAAAACTATGGGCAGAGAAATGTTTGTTGGCGGATGTAGCAAAAAAATTGATGTTGTTGTTATTATATTTGGGGTGATTTAAAAAATGCCTATGAGATTATGAAAAGTGGTTTATACACATATGTACTAATAAATTCTAAAGTTGAAGTGATTTAAAGATATAGCATAATTGTAGGTCTTTGAGGCAGTTGTCTTTCGACAAAATTTATTATTTAATTTAGATACAAGAAATCTGAAAAATCAATATGGTTTTAGGGTCACATTAATTAATTAATTAATTCATTCATTCGAGTGCAACTCTAATAGTTTAGAAATGTCTGCCCTAATTATTTTATCGGATGAGATTTTGTTTCACAGGCAGAGTAACGATTGATACTTCTGACAAGATCACACTGGTGTCAGCAATTCTGGATTCAGAATGCAAGGGAGTACTCAATTTTTGTTCATTTGTTTGTTTTTTGGTTTAATTTTTTTTATGACCTGGGACCAATTTTTGGCTTTTGGTCTTATTCCTGTCTTTTCCTTTCTTGGTGGTTGGATGAAGGATGGAAGGAGGGATAAAATGATCTTCCAATTTACAAAGGAACTTTGTTTTCAGGATGGATAACTCCCTCTTGGATGGTTTTAGTATAGTTAAAGGGAACACTGGTTTATGGCAGAGAGATCTATGTAGTATTTTAGCCAAGTAGTCTTGGGCAAGTCACTCAGTGACTCTTATCTAAAAAATTAGTAGGAGATTTTAATTGTGTTAATCTTATACCCTAGCTTTAAATTCATGATATATTTCACAAAGTACATATTTTATTGATCTGTTGGACAGTATGGGTTGAAGAAATAATCTTATCATGATTCCAAAGAATTGGAAGAATACCTTTGCGCAAGCAATCTTCCTACTTTTCTTATTTTTCTGTGCCCACTATGATCTCAGTGCTTTTCAGCTGAGAACTGATGGACCATCATCTACAACTTCTGCTTCACTACCTCACAAGGGTTTTCATGTTGACCTGGAGACCTTTCTGGTATTTCACTGAAACAGAATCAAGTGTGGCCTTGGGGAAAATGTTCATGCATGCAAGGTGCATCTTGATAGAGTGCTGTACCTGGAGGAGAATAACCTTTCAGATCTCCAGATCCTGGGGATCAGTGCTCAGTTCAGGCACAACCAAGACAGTCTAGATCAAATGACTTCACGATGTGTCAAGAACAAGCTATCATCGGGCTGCTGTGTTTCCTTGTTATCCCTGAGAACATTGCTGATTAGAAAAGCTATTGTACAGCCATTAGAGCTGGAGATGTTTCTGTTTTCTCTAGAAAAGCATGTAAAACCTGTAACCTAGGTTCAGTAGCTTTTCACTGACCACTAACTTGAGGTGATCTCCTTCCACTTTTCTAATCTTTAAAATTCAAAGTTCTCCTAGAGATTTCCATAGTCCCAAGATGGCAAACTTCCCTCAAAGTTTTCACATTGTTTTTACTCCAACAGCCAACATTTAATGCAAGAATTTAGTGTTAGTGTTCATATTTCTCTGAAATGTAATTCTTTAACTATATTAAATTTTGCTCCATTGGGTGTAATTTTTATTATTCAACTCAGGGCCAAAATAATTTCATTTTGAATGTATTTTTGAAATTAAAATACTTAAACTATATAGGCTCAAAATGTTTGCTCTGCTCAGTGTAATTTTAATTAACAGCTGAGGGCCAAGATAACTTCATTATTAATAAATCTCTGAAACTATAAAGTGAGTCAATTGGAAAATAAGTAGATGAGCATAAAAAATTTCAGGATTCAAACTGTGTTTTCAGAAATGTCTGCATTATAGAAGATGATATATTCTTATAACCGCAGTAGTGAAGAAACCTGAAAAACATGAGTAAAATATGAATCTCTACAGCCTCTTCCTGAAAAAAACTGTAGTAACAGTGTGAGTTTCAAATGAGGAAGAAAAAACTACAGGGAAATGTAAACCATCTTACAAGTAATAGCTCGTTAAATGTTTGTATAGCACATTTGTTCAGAGGGTCTAAGCACAATGACCACTGATATGCAGCTGCCTTTGAAAAGGGATGTGAAAGTTTTTAGATCCAGGAACACGGCAAGTCAGACTTTAGAAGTGGAAAATAACTTACCCATCTGAAACAGGAGGAGAAATTTAGGTAAGTGGAGAGTAATTACCCAACTTGGAATCTGACCAAAACACAAGGGTAAATACTGAAAAAGTATCGCCCCACAAGTATGTTAAAATCCAAAGTGATCTCCCGGTGGTATTAGACGGTATGTGGTTTTTGTGGATAACATTGGTATTAGAGCTAGAACCAACCCAGTTCATAGCTCCGATTCAGAGCCTTTCATCAAATGTTGACCCTGGAACCTCTAGACAAATGGCTTAATCTTTATGAGTGTAATTTTTCAATTGCTCGGGGATGTGCCCTCCTTATTCACATGGAGTTTACTAGGATTATTGAAAGAAAATACCTAAAAGGGTTGGTCAGTTTGAGACTGTATAAATCCACATCATCTTGATATTTCATTGAAAAATTGGCAGTAATTTGGTTGAGGCTGATATCCACACATCCACTTAATATGGAAATGATTGTGGCATCAAAAGGACCTGCATTTCTCTCCTCTGGTTCAAGTTCTTTCAGTGCCTAATTGCATTTAGTTGAGCAAGCTAATGAACTTCCAAGATGGCTTTAGGCCAGTGGGAAGATAATGTGCACATACAATAATCATATTTTTTCTGCTATAGAGTAAAGGTATAAATGCTGCGGAGTCTAATATTAAAAAAATTTAGTGAATAGTTAAAAGCATACTGCTCACTACATGGAATCTGAACTTGGTAAAGATGTTTCCAATTTTTTGGGCCTGCAAACAATTCTATTGCCGAGTAGTTCCTCGGCAATAATTTCAGAGCCACAGGATTGCAAAGGAGCCCAGGGCCATGATTATACATAAACTATATTTAGATGAAATGTTATCAAATCTAAAAAGGAGATATGTTCTGAACTCAGCTTAATTCAAGTGCACTCTGCCCTGCCACACAGTAACCAGTTATTACATTCACGGGGTTGTTAACAATAAAGCTTTGTGTAAAACGTGTTTGTCTACTTTTTCTGGTAAACACTAAACACCCCTTATTAAGCTGAGGACTTTGGCTGATTTTGTTGGCACCAAATCATTAAATGTTCATGTAAATAATGCAATAACATTTGATGATTAAACAAGTACCAAGGCATATTTATGCCAGGGTAGTCTTTTGCTCTTTCTAATTTAGTTATTAATATAGAATGCTTTTAATATATGGTCTCATATTCAGATAACAACTAAATATTTGGGATGCATTAATGTTTCAAATAGTGCTATGTTGGCCTACTGATTTATGGTGATTTCTAAGAAACTGCAAATTCGCTTAAAAATGCAATTCACTGATTTAATCATTTGCTCTGGAAACTTATGTGAATTCCTGTAAGCATTTGCGTTACGATAGAAGTATTTGTTTGTTTGGAGAGCCTAAGAAAGACCTGAGCATAAAGCTGATAGGTGATAGCTCACTGGCTGCTGCTACTGAGCTGGCAGTTGCCCTGGCCATTTTCAAGCTTCCATTGACGTAAATGGTTTAGCTATTAGTGACATGTGAAAAAGAACAAACTATCTGAGAATTATTTCAAGGACTCCTTTTTTAAGAAATTTGATGAGAAAACTTAGCTAAAATATTGATTCAACCTTCAGTGTTCACTGTTTAGAAATAATGTACAGCAATTATCTTCATATAAGCAATGTTGATGGTGTAAGTAAGGCACAAGTCTTTACCGTCTTGAATTTGGGGACTTCAACGCTGAATGGTTTTGCACACTGATTAACATATCCCACACCAGATCCTGCTGGTAAATCCATTTTGTGATCTTACTGAACCTCAGATGACCCGGTGTAGGCATGTTAAAACGAACCCCTCCACCAGGAGTATCACTCTTACTTGCACAGTGCTGGCAGCATACATAGACACGAAAGCTGAGCTTTACTAATTATCCAATAATAAAGTGAGCAGACTATCAATGCTCAGTACCTGAACGTCTGTGAACATGTCATCTGTGACTTGAGTCAGCATGGACTTCACATCCTCAATGGTGAAGCCAACTAAAGGATCTGTATCCAAAGTGTCAGTTTCTGGCTGGGTCTCCTCATCGCCTTGCTCTTGATCCAACCCCTAAAATATTGAACGTAAACAGCATTCAAGTAAATCTGTGAAGCATTCGGTGATTGATATGTAACCTCAAACTTCTATTGGCTATTCTCCCAGGAAGGATGTCAGCCCAGGAGATTGTGATTTGATGCTACTTTGCGTAGTATTTTTATTCTTTATGGGGATTATGACAGACCAAGCCGTGGTGCCAAGGTGGGGCTTACTTTGGGATGGTGAAAGTAGAGATTAGGGAGTATGAGATGGAAGAGTTTAAAGCTGCTAAACTGCTATTGGCTGTCCCATCTTGGAATCAGTGCTAAAATAAATATTTACACCTGTTTGGGAAAACTCAGAGGCAAAGAAAATGGAAGAACATTTGTTTTTTTCCTTTCCACCCCTAAGAATGTAATTCCTAGGCTGTGTCAATGGAAACACAAAAGAAACCTTACCTTCATTTCTTGATCTAATGTTGGAGGTGGCTCAATGAATTTTGAATAAATATCAAACGAGATTCCTTCTTCCAGAGGTTTTGGTAAAGGGCCTCCTCCAGTGTTGACGATTTCTATTACTTGCTGGAAAGGAAGAAAAGAGCTAAAGTGTGCCACCCTTCAGTGAGTAACCACAGTTTCAGCCAGTTCCCTTATATATCTGCCACACTTCCAAGCCTGGTATCTTTTATGTGCCGTCTCTGAATTCTTGATGCCATTGTCCTCTTGTTTATCTGGTGCTTTCCAAGCCCCATAACTCATTGTTTACATTTTGCTTTCCTATATTCTTATCTTAATCTCTTTCCTAGTCTGTGGTTTAGGATTTCATTTTGTACTTTGCTTCAAGCCTCAGCCCTTTACTCACTGCAAGAGCCTACAAGCTCTCCGTAGGTGGAGAAATGAGCTTTAAGGACCTTGCACTTCTTCTCCACTTCTGGCCGATAGCAATATCTCATGACAGCCTTGTGCTGAAGGATGCCACTCAGCAGAACGCAGCTGTTATTGTGGGTGGTAATAACGTGGCCATCAAGAACTTAGTGATGAGGACAACGAGAGCTCTAAAGATTAATATGCGCAGCTAGCACACTGCAGATCAGATAGATTACTAAAGACACAGAGGGCAGGGCAAGACTTCACCAGACGCAGTTGACGACTCTTTAGCAAGAGGGCATCAACCAGAGGGAGGGTGGTAGTCACCACTGGCAGTGAAGGAAAAAGACAGCAAAGCCAACTTTGGCAGCACCCATCTGACCATAATTTGGGGAGAGAAAGAAGAGATGAGAAGTCCTAATAGCATTAAACATCTGAATCATTTAATTAGTTCCTCTTGTTCTAATTCCATGGTTAACAAGCAACATTTTGACCATAATTTAATTTCCCATCTCAATTGATCTGTAAAGACATGCCCACTGAGTGTTCTGGCTTTTGTGCCTTTTACATTCCTCACCGTAAATCAATAAGCAGTTCCAGTTTGTACAGTAAATTCTCATGAGCTTTTTATTGCGGCTCGGAGATGAAATTGCTCACTGTTTTCTGAGAAAGTCAGACCCTGAGCTTACAAGTGTGAAGACCAAACTCTAGAAATACATAAATTCATTGAAAATTGACCATCTTATGAAGCATAAAGAAAAATCATGAAATAATCACACATTGGTTTCTAACTTCTCCACAGTGTTTCACACAAACTGCCATGTTTCACTCCATTATTTACATATTAATGTTTTTTGATTGAGATATATTTTGAAATACAGTGGAAGCTAAGTTATTTCTTGGTCTGGCCAGTGCGTATGTGTTTTAGATTCAATTTGTATTATTGATTTTAATTTGCATTTACAGGAAGTTGTTGCCTAGGGTAAATGTACAGAAGCTCTGAAGTGTCCTGACTTTAAAGGCAAAGAGACTTGGACACCAAGAAGCTAAATGACCTAAAGTCAAAGGATTCCCTAGTGAGAGAACTAGGCTTTAAACCCCGGTGTGCTCACTTCTTGTCCTACGCAGTTTTCAATAAACTGTAACATGTCATCAAGTTGCCATCCTCGGAAATTATTGATCTTATTAAGCACTGACTTTTTACTGTTAGATGACATCATTCCAGGTTGTTTATTTTAAGTTGACTAAATGTCGACCAGAACAGAACACTAGGAAACACATCAGAACAGTTCTTTTCTCTCAGTACATTCAAAAGCCATTTTTTCGGTGGGGTGTATGGGCATTTGCATCTTCTCACAACATCGATTGCACCTCATTCTACCACACTTAGATTGTGTCTACTGGTCTTTATATTCTCCAGATGGAAAAGGAGAATGCTAAATGTATTTTAGGGAAAATAGAGAAGCTGCTTGCGACAGTGAGAGAGAAGGGAAAACGATCAAGTATTTACTTGGTGGTATAGACTTTAATATTTGTTAAAAAGGTTTGAGGCATAGCGGGTGTAAATTGGACACTGAAAGGAACAAAGGACTGGAGTTTACTGAATTTACTTCCGGCCCTGAGAAAGTAAGCATTAGTCGATTTACAAGGGCAAAGTGTTTTCTTTTAATGATGCAGAATTTTATCTTGTGTGCGGTCACTATATCTGTCTCACTGCTGTGCTTTTCTATACACAGGATAGACCTTTCTGCAAATTTGCCCTCACCCCCTAGTGCAGTTCTCAACAGACAGCCTCTCCATTTTGGTAATAATAGATTCTACCATCCCCCCTCTTGTGCTCATTTCCCCATCAGATCATGCACTTAAATGCAAACAGATATTTGTATCCAAGTCTCTCATTTCATCCCTCACACCCCTGTGGCCTGCATTCCTTTATGCGGTTCATCTGAATTACCAACTGCACAGTTTCCTGCTGTGTGTGTGTGTGTGTGTGTGTGTGTGTGTGTGTATCTACTGCGTACACACTTGGAAACTTGGAACTTTATGTCTCTGTATCACCATTTGTTTTAGTAGAGTGAATTTCCCATTTATTGCAATACTCTGAAGTTCTGGCTGAGAGTCTGACTTTTTTTTTCCCTTTTTTGTGAGTGTAGCTCATATAACTATTAAATTGACTTAATTTGTGCATGAAAAGAGGGGGTGAGAATTTCTTTTCTTCAGATAGTTTGCGTACTATTGATGAACTGAACCACAGCTATGGTTTTCAGTTTTATACAGAATTGCATTTCTTCACATAAGTGAGTTACTAGAAGGGAAAAGAAATGTCCCAGTTTTAGACGGAGGTAAAAATAAAGTTTTCTTTAATAATAAGAAAGTCCACTTTTCAATATATAGCTTGAAATAAACATAATGCCCAGAAGCATCAAGTAATTTTTTTTTCCCCATTAAAAATGAGTAGCCTTTTTTGAAAAACAAGTTTAAGGAAAATTAGAATCAATAATTGTGGTGAGAACACAGAGCCAGCAAATATGCTTAAATGAAACCGTCTGATGCAATACTTTCTTTAAAAAAAATACAATTAGGCCTTTGTATTTTTTTTAACAAAACCTCATGTTTTACAGCATCACTGGCTCTGTAATAAAATCTATTTAAAACAGAAAGACATGGTCAGCTTTATTAAGTTAGATTTTCTGAAAGAACGTTATAATTTCCTCAAGTCTATGAATAGTTGAAGCAAATTAAATAAAGCTAGTTTTATAACTATTTTTATACATTCCTGTAGAATTCTAATTGTCTCATATTTTTTTCCTCAAAAGTCTGATATGTTACCTCCTAAATCTGAAAAAATAAAAACAGAAAAGGGATCAAGTAAGTTTATTAAGGGAACACTTCTACTGGGGAGTCGACTTAGCAAAGCCCCATTTCCATAAGAGAGTAGCACCCATAATACCAGGAAACAAAGGGAAGGACTTTAAGTGACTTGCCTGGGGCCTAATGCTGAGATTAAAAATCAGCAGTTTCTGATTATACACATACATCCATTTGGCCAAATGATTGGTTTTGCTTGACTTTCAAATACCCCCTAAATGTTACTTTGAATGTAAAGCAGTCAATATGCTTCTCTTGCCATTTTTGAATGCTTGCACGCAAACGGATATAATAAAAACAATCATGTTGTTCCATGTGAATGCCATTTGTATTTTTTTCTGATAATGAGTAGACCATTTGAACTAAGGTGAGTACATTAAAAGCTCTAATAAAGAAGAGAATAGACTTCCAAACAGAATAATGGACTGTTAAGTGAACATACAATAAAGACCGTCTACAGATGTGGTCACTCGAAAATTAGTTTTGCATAACTTACCCATACACATTTCCCCCAGATGTTATCTGTTACATGAAAATTAAGTTAGTTCTATTGTAAGTTACGTGCACATCGTGTCAGCGTTATTTAAGATGGCTTACAATCTGCACTTTCCTTTAATTGCGTTATGGTATTTAAGGCATAGAAAGTAAGTGGCTTTTTGGCATAATTGTATACTCCCATGTACAAAATTTCAGCCTCAAAAATTATGAAGAATGCAAGATCTTTACTTATAAGCCAAGTGAAATCATTTGAAATCTTTAAAAAATTTGTATACTTAATGTGAGTTGGACATCTACCATGGGAATAAATGCTAAGAATTTTGACCTTCTGGAACTAAGTGCAGGGTCAGTTTGGGTCTAAAAACATGCTTATGGGAATTGGACTTTGCTTGAAATTTTTGCATCAAAGACGAAATGTAAAGATTTTATCTCAACATTGTTTTACTTTGTACATTCTTTTTCTTCTTCATGTGTTAACATTATCCATAGTATTGACTCAAATGTATTATTTTTGGGTGGAAATTGTTTTCGGAGAAGATGTGATTTGTAGGTAATGTTATACCAATAAAATGTTTAATTGAGGTGGTAATTGTTAAATTATTAAAATCTGTTATTAAGCCATTCAGGATATTAAAATGCAATTGAAATGACAACTTTCTCCCAGTATGAATGGTAGAAAGCAAGATAAATCTGTTCAGTCTTTTTGGAGCCACAGGCACCCATACAAGAAAGTGGGTTTGTTTGAAAAGACATTTGTTTGGAATTGTCAGAGGATGACTTCATAGGTAAATCAGAACTAACCAAAATATGTCAAAGTTTCAAAAAGCAAACTTTATGGCCAACTCTCCCCACTATTAACTAAAGGAAAAAGGCACAAAAATTCCTGTAATGTTTTAACCATCGCCCCCCTCCGAAAGGCATTACTCATTTGCAAGTCTAATTAAGAAGTACTTGAGTGGTTCTGGAAATTTTTAACAAAAAATTGTAACTCATTGCCCACAACGTACTGCACATAAAGTAACAACATATGAATGCCACCTGCAAGACGCAATAAACTGGACTAATGTCATACTGAGGCCATAAATTTAAAATGAAACGAAAGGAGATTCAAAAGCCAATATTATCAGAGAAACTAATTAATCCACTTCTAAAGTATTTTTCTGTTGTGTTAAGGCCATTACAAATGTCCTAATAGACCCTGTAAATGTAGAATATCAATTCTGCTACAAGAGTCCTCCTCCTCCTTTTGCATTTTTGACTTGGAAATAAATTTGCAAATGCAGCACATTAATTTTCTTTCCTATGCTTAATATGCAGTATTTACATTTTGAAAAGGTTCAAAATGTTGC